GACGTCATACGATATTTGCACACTGTCCGCTCTTAGTCTACTTTTATAGATAAATATAATAAATCTTATTAGAAAAACAGTCAAGCGTAATTAGAGGAAGAAAGTCAGCGAACTCTAAGAATACTTTGAATAGGATTTTTCATCTGCTATCTCTTTGTTTCTTCGATTCTCTCAGTCACTAACAAAATTAACAAAAAAACCACCCAAAAATTAACAAATGATATTCATATCTCGCCATTTGTGCACACGGCTGCCATCTTAGTATTTGCTGCACCTAAGCCAAACTTCCTGGTATCCAACGCAATTTGTTGTTAACAATACTCATTCAGCGGGAGGTAACCATGTGGTTTGTGGAATGGTTTTAAGCTGGGTAAGTGGATACTTTATTAAGAAAATATCAAAATTTCTAGGGAAAGTGAAGTCGCTAATCAATGGTAATTTTGCATGTTTTTGCATTACATCATGCATTATTTAAACGCCAATTTTCAACTGATGCCATGGCAGGACCAGCTTGAGTTGTTATTGGCTGCCTGCTCGCTTGCTCGGTCCTTACGGACGCCCGTCCGGAAAGTGGTCACCCTCGTTCCCTGAAAATTTAAGATAAATGCAAAAAAAAAAATGCAAATTACTGCTCAAATATCTAAAATGTGGATTTAAAGTTTTGCGTATACTGCTTTTACTTGAGACGAGATGTACATGAAACATGGCACTATAAGTGTATAAATCCACCATAGAAACTAGCGCTGCATCATTGGTACATCGAGTGAACGGCAGTGTGACCTTTGGCCCGGCTGATTACCATAAAGCGTACACACGAGGTACTATTCTCAAATACACGTACTTAAGTACGACATTTTATGGTTGGCGTGCGTCGCAAGTCTCCCTCTCAGAACTTTTCAAAATCCGGCTTTAAACACTGAGATAAATGGATTATTCACCAGATAGGTGATAGTTTCTTTACGAAACGTCATTTCATTGCTTCCAATGAAACCCTGAATAAATAGGCGCCCACCTGGGTACCCACGTCCACCGTCGTCGTCTTCACCGCCATGACCACCGGGACCATCGCCGTCACCGTGTCCACCATGACCGCCATGATGACCACCACCATGTCCGTGGGATCCACCACCGTGGGACCAGTCGCCGTGAGATCCGTCACCGTTATCCTGGGGCAGAAAGGATTGGTTTCAGTGAACAATATGTTTTATGGTCGACTTCTTGGCGCTCGCAAGTAGGGGACTACAGCCAGCATATGTCCATACTTCCAAAAGGCAAAGGTCATTCGAGAACAAAGCACGCGTGCGAGTCGGCGCAACGTCGCGCTGATAGGGCAGACCTCGCGTGCGCGTACTGCCGCTCCCGAATGACCTTGGACGCGCTTCATTCTGAGCTTGAGCTGAGGGTGGTTTATTGTTTGACAGGCGCCGAAAAATTTCCACCGGCAATATTGCAGTAAGGGAATTCTGCGTCCGAACGGTGCATGCCCCCATTTTGATCTGTTTTGACAACTTCAACTTCGGAATAAGTGATCTGCCGAATGCCCATTTATCAAAGGATGCCAAGTCAAATTGGCTTCGCATTCAGTAGATGTGGAAATTCTTGATTTCATCACATCTTTTATCACGATGAATCGTATTCCATCTTACAGAGCGTAAAGACATGGTCTAATAGGCCTATTATGGAGGACGGAGAAAAGGACGTGCTCATTAGCACACCGACCAGAGAGTCCGTAGGACTCGGGTTAACACGCAATTAAGCAGGGCTACCGTGTGCGCTCACCCAGTCTCCCCAACCGAAGCAGTCCTTCCAGGATTTGTGGTGGCGGCTGAGGAAGACGCCCAGGAGAGTGGCGCCGACAGCAAGCAGGATAAGGACGGTGATCACAGACACGCAGACCACCTTCTTAGAGCAGCGACCCTTGCGGACAGCCACTGGAGGCTGAGTCTTGGGCTGCCAGACGAAGAAACAGGGGAATTAAAAAAAATAATTCAGTGGAAGTTTGCATGTTTAAATAAATAGACCTATGTAGACCACAGCAATACATGGCGCACGATGTATGCATCTCAAACGAACCGTGGTGTTTCGGGTGCCATGATTGGGCCTTCTTTGAGTGGTTGGAAAAGTGGTTTGGTGCGCTGTACATATTCCTGCGGAATTCTTCACCAAGGAGATTACTAAAGGAGGACTTCAGAGAGGCTCACACTGATTTAACTTGGGGGAATTGCATCGTGGTTGCGTAGCTGTTTCTGAAAACTGCTGATGAGGGCCAATTTCGATTGTGGTCGGATGAATTTTGTTTCTTGGAAGAAGAGCGCGAGTTTACAAATGTTGCTGACAAAATAACTATGAGTTCTCTCAAACTGTCCCTTGGAAACATGACGTCCTGTACGGTAACCGATTGTGCTTTTGGTACCTGAGATGATTTCCTTTTCTAAATCTGACTCCATCCGGGAACGTCGTGCAAAAAACACTAATCAGGTAACCGAATAATTAAACTGGTACTAAAACGAATCGACACGACCCTGTGAGAATAGCGTTGTACTGGTGCAAAGCGGTTCGCGTCTGCGCGGTTTTGCTCAAGTGCTTGAGCGATCAACAAAATAATTGTTGTTTGAAATAATTTCAATTACAAAGCTAAGTTACAGGTTGCAGGGTGATGATTTTCCTAAGGCAACAGTGGAATTTTTGAAGTCTTTTTAAAAAAAATATCAAACAGGGGAAACATGCAGTGGATTATGCAGCCCATGGTCACCGAGTTTGTCTTAATCTTGTTCTAAAAGTGAGAAAATCGTTAAATTATTTTATGTAGCGGACGTTCGAGTGGCCTTGCCCTCGATCATAAAGCGAGAATAGACACTATAGGATTCGTCTTTCAGTTTTCATTCAAACCAAACTCCAAAAATATCTTGGAGGAAATTGTCACGAATCAGCTGAAGCTTCGAATAAAACCAAGCATGCGGCTAATAGAGTCTACTATATTCCAAAAATAGATTTTTTACAAACGATTTCAATACTGCCCTATTACAAACTGACGTCATGCGCAATAGTGACTTGCAAGAACAGCTCATTTTCAGTGCATCCGTGAAGGCCACACGTATTATTTGCCTCCCTCAATTGCTCTTTTGTGATGTCTCAAATGACCTCGTCAATAAAACATGTCATCTGGTTGGTACCACTCTGCGCCGCGCCGCCCATAACAAAAATTTGCATAGAGTTCAACACATTGTGAGCTACGCATGAGTGATCAACTGCATGTACATGCATTGTGATCGATCGAGTTTTGTATACTGAGCCGAGGCAGCACTTGTCAATCTACGTTTACAAACCACCGAAATGGTACAGACACTATGTTTGCATAAATCGGGGGGTGGGAGAAATTAAATTTTACTTAAAAATGATGGCCTAAGGCGGGTGGAAAGCCTAACAACATTTTTTAAAACAAAGCTCGAATATCTGAAATTTTGTCCAGCTTCGTAAAAGAGTTTGTGGTTCGTATTTGTTATGCTGACTCCTAGCACACCAAAGAAAAAAACTCAAAATGGACAATAATCACACCAACGTCAAAGCTCCAAGGCCATATTTATGTCCTGGGTTTTCCCAAAATATACCCGTTAGAGGATTGAAGCCTGCGTTTCATTAAATGATTTCTCTTAAATTTATTTCTACAATTCCTCGAGAAGGACATGTAGGCCTACACGTAAATATAGATCCAAACCATGCGGTGTGGATTGCCCTGAAAACAACGCCATGCAATTGGGTTTGTGCCCCCAAAACTTAGGCAGCAAACTAGGTAGTAATGGTCGATAAACTGGCGCTGGTGATGTCTGATAGTGACAATGGACACAGCGATGACAACTTTGACGCTGCTATAAAACGACGACATGATCACGGATCGTGGGGATGACAGAAGGAACGAATGCATAGACCAGCTAAAAACGTCAACAAACATTCAGCAGTCCCGAACTCGGAGTCCGCGATCGAGGCGCTGTCCACACTTTTCTTACCGGGATGGGAACCTCACAGCTCTCCGGCGGCTTCTTCACCGGATCTGGCTTCTGGCCCTCTGCACTCACGCCAAGTTGCACCATCTTCGGTAACTTGTTTTTTATTAATCAACTCTGCCAAAAAACACAAAGCCGACGAGAGACGGGATGAACGTTCGCTCCAAACGAGTTGAAGCGATTTTGTGACACAGCATCCGGCTTCACTGAATTCGCTGCGTTTGGCAGTTCTGACCTTAGTCTGGCGTCCGGACGCATTGACGGTTAGCTACGACGGTTAGTTGCCAGACAATTGGACTTTGATTTTGTTTGCCATTCAATTAAATGGTTGCAACGCAACAAAATGTTCGCAGCGATATGACGGAATAATACATTGTTCGTGCTGTGGGCGCGTTTTGTAAGCTTGTGGAACGTTTTAAATTTAGCTGGAATTGTTTGAACAAAATTATGGTAAAATTAACACTGACATGACAGCTTCGCGCCGTCAATATTTACTGTACTGGGCAGTGTAGGACCAGTATAAGTCAACGATACTTTATGACATGGCGTGTGTTTGTATTAAATCGAGTATTTGTGTTTCTAAACTTCTAAACAAGGCGAGCACCTCAAAAATACAAAACACGGTTTGCATTTTTTACATAAACCCAACCAGAAACCGATGTTGTGTCCTGGTTTTAATTTGCTGGTGTTTTCGTTCTCATAAATAAAGTTTGTGAAGTTCATGTTTTGTCTGGGTTCCAATATTTCAGACTTATGACACCGTGCAGGGGGTAAAAAAAACCAATCAGCGTGCCTACAAAACGAACGTGGAAACCGAAGGCTATTGTTTCAATTTTTTGTAAGCCCCTCAAATGTTACCCCTGTTTGCTGTTTTCCCACAAACATCGGCTGCGACGACTCCCAACTTTTCGTCTGGTGGACGAACTTTTATAAAGCTTTCGACGCCTCGTTCTCTGGAAGAATAAGCGGCAGAGATTCCACACACTGTAAAAACTTTTGCTTCGCTCGGAGCGGATAAGCACCGTGTTTAGATTTTACTCTTTGAAGTGCTGCGAAGATATATCCATAAGTCACTCATAAGAAACGTTCACACATCAGGGTAAAAAAGGCCGTCAAGAGAGGTACAAGTTACAAAATTAATTTAACAAACATGACGCAGCGGCGTTCAACTGCCACTCACAGCTCAGATTTATTAGAATATTGGAGCAAAGCGGTGAAGAAAATAGCCCACGAGTTTTGCATAATAAGCTTCACATCGGTTAAACATGTCTCATCACCAAACGGTAATCTCACAAACTCATAATAAAAGTGCAGAGCGGTTTTGTTGCCATTCAAGGACTACATCATATGACGAAAGTTTATAAATATAAACCATCAAAATACAAGCAATTCAGACGCCACCTGTCGTCTCACGACCTCTTTACATGTGTATGTGATTGGTACCCAGAATGAAGTTTATATTAGGCATTTGACAAAGATTGTCAGACGTTAACAGAGTTGGGCTCTTGCTTTTAACATTAACATTATCTTATGATGGTGCATCAATAATTACTTTCTATATCTTCAAGGCATTAACGATTCCGCCATCTTTAAATGTGCACTCTCGGTTTCAGAATTCAATCCCTGATGTCCTGCCTGAATTGTTGGTAGCTGACTGCTTTCTGTGTTGAAAGAGCCTCTATAATTGAAGACATTTTGTACAATGCTGAAAGGCTTATTTGCATCGTTTTCTTGGACAACAGTGCCGACATCTGGAGTGAATCTTTTGTACTTATTGATGATATTGTCTGTCGATGTGTAAAAATTTGCTGCGCACTTATTTAACTCATATAGATTATCAAGGTAGTTTAAAAATTCCTCCGGTGACTGCAAAATCACTTGTTCTTCTTGTTTCAAGCGTTTCTTCTTCTGCATTTCCGAAGAATGGATTTATTTGTATTCTGTTGAAATGTTGGACACAGTGCCGCAATATCCGAGGCTGCTGATTGGAAAACGTGGCACTCGGTTGCCCCGATTAGTGGAGAGGGCGCTGGTTCACTCGCTACGGGTGATCATCGGGAAAGTGATCAGTCTCGTCCCCTGAAAGTTAATGTTGATACAATACAAATTAGACAATGTGTCTAGCGGGAAGGGGGCAAAATGAATTTCTTTGGTGATTTTAAGGGGACTTTTGTAGACTTGTGGGGAAGGTTTTTGGGGAGCTACAAAACAGAATAATTTGAAAAATAACAAAAAGCGAGGCTGCATGTCCCAGGAGAAATATTTACATATAGCTAATTCACATGAAGTTGATAATATGGTCGCATGATGGTGATGGGTTAGAGTTAATAATAACAATGATGACACTTATGAAGTGCCAATAAAAGAACGCTTAAACAGAAAAGTTTTCAAGTTTGATTTAAATGTTTCAATTGAGTCCAGTGTTCTGAGATCATTTGGGAGGGTGTTCCACCGCACTGGTGCTGCCGATGAAAAGGCCCGACTTCCCTAAGCAGTCTGTGCTCTTGGAATCACAAGCAGGTTCTTGTGGGATGAGCGCGGGTTACGTTGTGGTACATGGGGGTTATAATGAGGTCACATAAATAATCTGGCGCCAATCTATGTACGATTTTCCACGTTAACAGATGAATTTTGTACTCAATCTGCTCCCGAACAGGCAACCAATGGAGATAATGCAGCACCGGCGAGATGTGGTCAAATTTGTTAGATCTGGATAAGACTTGGGGAGCTGCATTTACAGCATGCTGGGGTTTGTTTAACAAATATGATTTAAAGCCGAGAAAGGTCAGAGGCATGAATGAGTTTGGATGCAACTGTGACATCAAGTACTTTCCGTATGCTGTTAACGTTGCGAATGTTACAATAAACAGATTATGACTAATCTTCCTAACTCAATGGCAACGGTTAAGGTTTGCATTTCGATCGCAAAGGGGCTTATTGCAATTACCGTGGGAGTTATTCAAATCACGTACCGGGATTGAAATGGTCACTGTCATCTTCTTCACCACCATGACCGCCGTGATCACCACCATGACCGCCGTGATCACCACCATGACCGCCGTGATCACCACCATGGCCGCCGTGACCACCACCACCGCCGTGCCCACCGTGGGATCCGCCGCCATGGGAAGAGTCGCAGTGGTGGTGACCATCATGGGATCCACCACCGTGGGATCCACCACCGTGGGATCCACCACTATGAGATCCACTACTGTGAGATCCACCACTGTGAGATCCACCACTGTGGGATCCATTGCCATGAGATCCTCCACCGTGAGATCCTCCACTGTGAGATCCACCACTGTGAGATCCACCACTGTGAGATCCACCACTGTGGGATCCATTGCCATGAGATCCACCACCGTGATGTGAGCAGTTGCCATGCCAATGACCATCGTGGGATCCACCGCCGTGATGTTTCGTCGGCGTGGGTTCCATTTTCGTAGGTCTCATCTTTGTGGGTTCCACTTTCGTGGGTTCCACTTTCGTGGGTTCCATCTTCGAGGGTTCTACCATCCCACCGTCGTTCCAATGACCACTATCGGGGTCCTGGGGAAAATGGTTTCAGTCAAAACTTTAAGCCACTTTCACTGGAGTCCACGATAACTTGGACATTAAAGAACGGAAATAAATTTTTTTTAAATGGGAGTCGAACCATGAAGGGGGAAAATTTTCCATATTATAGTCAAGGCTCGAGCCACGTCTACTCTAGAGAATAAGGTCTTAAGGTTTGTTTGTTGCTCATTATTGGCTATTTTTTTCTTTTTATTCTTGGACTACAACGCAAACATGACAAAGAGTCCTCACCGAGTCATCCCCGTTATGGCCATCCTTCCAGGATTCGTGGTTACGACTGATGAAGATGCCCAGGAGTGTGGCTCCGACGGCCAGTAGGATCAGGACAGCGATCACCGATAAGATGGTCACTGTCTTACAGCACGATCCGCTTGCCTTGACAGTGACCAGGTCATCCGTCTTGGTCTACAGACCGAAGGAAAAATTCATTTATGTTTGTGCTTTCCACAATTTACAATTTGTTAATCTGCAAATTTGGCGGGCCATACAAAAGGTTTGGTGACCAAAATAAAGGTCTGTTTATCATTCAGCGACTGATAACCCAATGGCATCTGGTACCACTGCGTGCCGTATGGTAAAGGTATGAGCTAATGATTAACTATGTTCATAGTGCATGGTTATTGTTCTGCTTTTTGGAAATGAGACTATAGCATGTGATAAGCTCAGTTCAGACTAAAAATTGTAAAACTTGTAAATAAGAGTGGACAACTACCATAGAAAAAAGTTTAGGTTTGAGACCTGAAACTTGATTGAGTTAGTCCAATTAAACAGAGCGAAGTTAAGAAAATCAAGTTGTCTAGGGTTTTGTGATCGGTTATGATGACATTTCATCCTGTTTCCAATGAAGTACTGTGGTGCATTTTAGTAATAATGACAAAAAACCCGAGGTGCAATGCTTCTATCTTAGACAATTCCAAAATCTCTGTGCGTAAATTTTTCCGGCCCAATCTGGCCCTTAGGTATCAGAGGAGAATACGTGTACTTAAGATGTGGTCTCTTTAAGTCCTGCAAACAGCACAGTATTTAATATTTGGCGGCAAGGTGCTATACGTAGACAAAACTGTCAGGGTGGCGATCACATCGTTGACTTTAAGCGTTGAGCAGCTTTGTTTATGAGGTACAAGCTTCTCAACTCTAACTGGACAAACTTACCGGGATAGGCACCTGACAGCTCTCCGGTGGCTTCTTAACCGGATCCCCCTTCTGGCCGTCAAGATTCACGCCCAGCTGCACCATCTTCGAAAAACCTCGACTCCTTCTTTTCCAAAATCCAAATCAATAACGAACTACTTCTTTCGGCGGCGAGTATCAGACCAGTTGTCGAAAATACGTTCGACCAAGAACAGCTGCTGTGAATGTTTTATGTGGCAGTGGGTGGCTACTGAAATCATTCGTTGTGAGTTTTGATCGTACAGTCTGGTTACGGCCTATGCGTGGTCTCTTACTTATGGTCCGTGGCCAGATTGGTATTCGACAGAACATTGATCCAACTACAGCATCAAATTACCTTCAAACGGGGCGATTTCCAACGCGCTGGAATAAAGTTCGCGAGCGGGGTCAGCCGACTACCTGTGGCGCATCCGGGTTGTAAGTCCGGCCCGGGGAGGAGAGAAGCGATTGTGTTTCTTCGTAAACAATAAAACTCCAAACTGAAGTGCTGACTTTTTCAGTTCGTTTTAAACAGTGACATCCATCTCCGGAACGGAGACAGAGAGTCACACCACTCCCCCGCTGGTCCCGATGCTGGCATTTCCTTCTTCACCTCAGCCGAGATTTTGCCGACCAGGACGATTTGCCTTCACAAGTTTTCAAACCGGCATTAAGAAGTGTGTGATTTCTTTGAATAACACAAACTACGATGAATTACAACCGTAGAAGCTGACGTGGTAACAAGGTTTTATGCGACCTTTATTTACACACACCACATTAGGGTTTTGACCATTTCAATAAGATCAAAATACAACTTTTGAATATAACATATTTCTGCTACCTTTTTTATTTACATTTTCTAGAAAATATAACAGCAGTGTCAGTCCAACCCTGTTCTTAGAAAGGTCCAGTCCTATACAAACCCTAAATGTTGAGATCGGCGTTTCAAGTCAGAAATCCAAGCTTCATTTTTTTCTCGGCCGTGGTAAAACTTGCTTTGGTTATAGCAATCACCTAATTCTGGCTTCCAAATAAAGCCAGAAGTGGTTTTCCAATCAGATCGATTGCGCAAGACTTTAAGATCCAATCAGCTATCATGTCACTGATAAACAAGCCTTTGGTTCAGTGTCAGTGGTTTTCATTGGTCACAGAGCAAATTACCTGCTCTTTCCAAGCGCGAAATGTCTCCGCGTGCCAAATCAAGCCAGCATTCCTGTGAAAATGGTGGGCGATTTTAGACAGTTTGACATGCATCAGTGTACATGCGTCTTTCACTGAAAAACAAACTTATCACGGGCCAGACTCGGCACAGGGGCACATCCATTCGCCACGTACAGCACAATCACATCAACTGACCGACAGGCACTCAGCTGGCCACGCATAAAGTTCCGTCTAAAAAAGTAGCAAAGCTCTCGCCATTTTGTTCACCATAGGCCACTTAAAGCTGGTAAACAACGTTTTCTTTAAAATAACGAGGAACCGTAGAAAAAACCAAGTGCAATTCCCCTATTGAAACAGTCAGGAAAGAGATCCATCAACTTACTGCAGAAAGTCAAACATGGTTCGTGTTTAACAAAAACGCCACACAAAAATTATCGTTCTTTTCTTTAGCAGAAAATCAACTGTGCCTAATGGAAATACGAAAGAACACAGGTGTTGCGATAAATTTAAAGAATGACGAACTTCCAAGTTCTGTGTTCACAGCAAACACGAACAGAAAGCTGTTATAAGATTTATTGGCTTTAAAACAAAAGGAGTCGGGAGAAAATGGGGTAGTTCTCCTTTCCAGTTTAGCGACGGTGAACCGGGCGTGGAGGGTCACGTGGTGCGTCAGGCCCACCTTCACCTGCAACAATTTAAAGAGAAAAGGTTACCAACTGAAATTGACTAGAATCATTTTGATTTTGCCATAGATTGTAAAATGCTATGATTTTGGTGAGTATTTAATGATGTTGGAAATTAGCCCAGTACTAGTAACAGCGATAGACCAAATGTTTTTTTTATGTTAATGATAAACGCTGTACATGTTTATTTAGGCCTACCATGGTGGTCGCCATCGCGATGGTCGCCATCACGGTCGCCGTCACGATGGCCGCCATCACGGTCGCCGTCACGATGGTCGCCATCACGGTCACCACCACGATGGTCGCCAGGGCCATGACGGTCACCATCAGGATGGTCACCATCTCGGCCGCCATGACGGCCACCATGTCTGCCGTCACGATGATCTCCAGGACGGTCGCCACGGTGGTCGCCACGATGGTCGCCATAGTCGAGTATCGGGTCAGATGACGACGACCAGATCTCTATGGCATCATTGCCAAAGGGCATAGGTGGACCCATGTCCTACACAAAAAAATATGCCAACTTATCAACAGCAGGGCTTCAGGAATATGGAAAATCCCAAATCAGGCCACTAGAATTAGGAGCCGCTACTTGGAATTGTACGCAAGCGTGCAATGCCTCTTCGACCAATAAGGTATTGTAACCTGCCAACATGCGCGCGCTCGTCTGAGAACGCACGTGCCTGTTGCCAAGGCAGTGATCTTCTGATAGGTCTATCTGGTTCGTAAGTTAGGCTTCACTTCAGTTTGAACCACGCCCACCTCACATAGAGCTCATTGATCTCCATTATCTTTATAGTGAAACCACGGAACCAGAAGTTAACGTGCAACTTGAGTGTTCGTTCAATGGCTTGTTAATCGCAAGCTGCGTGCGCGTGTACGTGTGTGAAGAAGCCAATTAAAAACTGAATAAACCTCAATCATGCGGGCAGCCATCTTGCTTTTCTACCATTCAAAGCAATGTAACCAAACTGAGGCTGGACGGAAAAGTAGTCTGCTCCCTTTTAACAATACATGAAGTTGTATTACCATTGCGTGTGTGTCTACAGGGAACGAAACAAACATGGCAGCACTATACACAGCTGCCTTTATAACTACCCACCTCTCCACACCAGTCGATGCACTGACGATAATACCTGTGATGCAGGTACAAGCCGAGTGCGGCACCACCCAAGGCCAGGGCTACCAGTATGCTGGTCACAGCAACGCACAAGGTGACTCGCTTGGTGAAGCAACCAGACTGGCTCCTCGCCGCGGGGGGCGCTGTCTGTTGGCACAGTAACGAACACGATGTCATTATCGGTCAGAGCAATTTATAGAAGTAAAGTTTTGAAGCTTACAAGCTGAGATGTCAGGCCTAACTGGTATGAGGCTCGCGGTGACACCGTGTGTGAATTATCTGTGCTGTTGCGAAATCATCGAAATGTAGTTCTGATGAGAGCTGGCAGTTTAGAATCGACGTTTCGATCAGTATAGCCTGGTCGTCTTTATTTCAATGTTAAGTGACATCGCTCAGGTAACAAGATCTCGGTAGACATATTGTGTCACTTCACATAGCGGGGAAGCAATGCAGAACACATTTTTCCCATTATGACAATGTGGGCAAAATGTAAGTGAACATAGCTGAAGTGTGAACAATTCGCATATTCAAACGTCATCAGCCAGATAGACTGAATCGAATGCAAGGCTAGTTTAACGTTTTTCTCTTTGAAACCTGACAATAAAATAAAAGCAACGAAATATATAAGTTCATTACAAATTAAGGTAATTTGCGTCGATGGACTCTTGCATGTAATAATATCTAAATGTTTTAAACCATTTTTTTTTTCAAAAACAATGAAAGTGGGCCATGCACTCATTCAACAGATTACATCGAATAAGATAGCTTCAGGGAAAATGATTACCTCCCTGCGGTTATAGGTTTACCAGAACACCGTCAATGAAACCATCTTTCTAACGACGTTAGTTAATCAACCAACTGCCTGAAAAGGTAAATATTTATCTCCAAACAGACGTATTCCGAGCAGTGTTGTTTAATAAAAGTCAAGGGTTTTGACCCCTACTTTCCCTTTAATAGTTGCTTACCGCGTGACAACTACTTAGCGGAAGTATGACACATGACCGTAGGGATTTCTGTACGCACGTAGACAAGGCCGATCAAAACAAGTGCTCGATGTAATGAACACGAACCTGTTGAAATTTTTGCTGGTCTCTTGAAAAACGAAAGGTTGGCATTGAGCGACACTAGAGTCTTGTATGCTGTTGATATTTCAATCAACTTTTTTGCGATTTAAATGTAAAGGTCAGTTATAAAGACAGATCCATATTTAGAAAGCAGCTCAATAAATGAACGCACAGCACGTGAGGCCTATAGGCCTACTTCGGCACAAAATATGGCCAGGCCATTTAATTATTGTGGCCTTGAGAAATCTTTTAATCTTTTCCATTCAAAAACATTTTGACCGTGCAGAGGAAATTCATTCAAATTAAGGCGTTTCTTACAGTTCTGAACAAAATTATTATGGCTTCTATCTGATTATGCGCGCAAACTCTTCAAATATGTAATAATGCGAATAATATGCATGCATAAGAAATGCAAGTTCATTACATTTGCATTTCCCACAGAAATTTGTAGTTCCAGCAAAGCCTAGGGAATTAACCACGACGTGCCTCCATTTACTCAAAAAAATGTGATCTACATGTCGCAGTTCACACGGGTATTCATGTTTACATGAAGCAGATGCCGAGATCTGAATAACGTGTAGTTGACACAATGTTATCATACTGAAAAGATGTGATCACGGACCAAAATAAATTTTGAAAAGTAGCCTCGACGGCAATTGGCCAAAATGATATAACAATATCTAAACATTAGGCCAAACAACCAAATAATGATGCAATGGAACTCAGTAGGTCGTCAAATCGAGACGATTGCCAATCCATCCTCGAGGGGACAAACAGGACTGCACGTCTGCAATCTAAGTCTACATTACGATCAGTGAATTGACAACATCTTCACCAAACCAATGGTGATTTATCACCAAGATCAGAAGACAACAAAAATATGAGACCAATGGCAAAGCCAAAAGAAAACCTACCGGAACTGTGACAACCACGACATCCTGTGGCACAGGCTTCTTGGATTCTTGCTCTTTCTGGCTTTCTGGAGACAGTGTTCCTATCTGAACCATCTTGGACTGTCTCTAAATTCTCTCCTGAGCGTGAAAATTAAAGATCTCGGGGCTAATTTCGAGCAGTAGCTATGCCGTGTGGAGCTATGCCGTGTGCGCAGTACTAATGTCGGACTTCCTCCTCATGCGCGTCAAGCTACGGGATGGATTTATTATGATGATGTCACTTATGCATTTATAACCCAAGCCGAGGCCGGTCATGCGTGGTGGTAACGCGTACTGTCAGGTACGGCTTAATGCCTGTGATGACGTCGTTTATTTTGTTCGAATATCGATTCGGTTCGCTGAATTATGGGTGAAGGCGCGGTTTGTCACAAAGATGATAGACTCGTTCACAAGTCGTCTACAGGAAATCATTACACAGAGTATTAAGACCAATTCCATACAGTGTATCTCGTGCAAACACATCGCCTCTTTAATGAACGGCTGTTTTCAGATTGGAAAGGAGTCGCCAACGAAGGCCCTGGGAAGTCTTTGAAGATTCGATTCCATTGTGTCCTGTTTTCTCCCGTTCGTGCACACCGCAAATTAGAATATTTGTTAGAAAAACTCTCAAATAGAAATTAAATCGTCGACAAAAGTCATACTAAATTATATACATGTGCACTCAACGATCTTTATTTGAGTGTATATTATTAATTTTTTTTTCAGCTAACGAAAATACACGCACAACTTGCCAATGAGTGTTGTGGTTAACAGGGTATTGTATGTGTCAGATCTATCTTTTAGACAAAAAAAGAAGATTTTTAGAATTTTCACAAATCAAGGGATTTTAGTTTGAGGCTAAAGCATGGCTTTGCAACGATGAAAACAGGACAGGTGATTAGTCTACTTTTAGTATCCAAAGGTGGTTTGTGAGCGTTTTGTGCTCATAAAATGAACGCTTTTGTATAGTTTGTTGTTTTGCCTGGATTGACGAAGGGTTGAACACACAGAAGCGAGCGTACAACAAAGACTGTTGACGTTGGTAACAGAACCTCAAGTCATCATGGTTCACAGGCATGAAGGTCATCAGTTCCGTCGCTATTTTTGGACTGTCCCACTGCCAGACCAAAAAAGGAAAGTTTGCGTTTTGCTTCGCTTCTTCATAAAGAAAACGCCCTAGCTAGTGGTTTACATTTTGGTCATGAAAAGCACGCGCAGTTGATTAATATTTTGGTTGAAATTTAATCTCTTTTACGTTCTTCTTTACAACTAATAGCAGAGTGGAATTATTCCCATATAGGTACTTTTATGATAATTCAACGCTGACATTGCACTTTTGGGCAATGTAATAAATAACTTACAAATTAACAAATCGATTCCGTTTTCAAATTATTATCAATCTGGCCTTTGGAAATACTTCTGTCTAGATTATTAATCCCGTTTCTAAGTTATAAATCTGGCTTTAAAAAAAACCTGTCTTGAAAATTAAAATCGTAAAGGCAGGTACTACATCGATAGGTCATTCTTTCTCCAACAGCTAAAGAAAGCGTGTCAAGTGGACGTGTTTTGTTTCACTGGCCCGCTAGCCTCGGGGTGAGTTCTCCCTCTAGGGCCAGGGGCGCATCGGCGATTCTCCTGAAGGCTTGGGTCGAGTCGGAGCAGGTCTTGGCCGATCTGTGGAACCATCGGAGATTAAAAAAATTATCCAAGTGAACACTGAAAACGAATGTCCAATGAAAAAAAGTACCAAAACGGAAATTTCAATTACCGTGGTGCCCGTTGTCATCGTGGTCGGGGTCATGGTCGCAATCGGGCCGGCCAGTGTGGTCGTCATCTGGATCAGGTCGGTCACCATGATGGTCGTCATGATCGTGGTCACAATCGGGCCGGCCAGTGTGGCCGTCATGATGGCCATCATCCGAGTCGCCACTTTCTCTTCCAATTGGTGTAGGGTACAAAACGTCGTCTTTTTGTGGCTCATGCTAAGAAAAAAAGGGGAATTAATCTTGCAGCTCTGAATGGCACACAAAATATGCTCTTTAGACCAACGAATTTCTCAATCAGAAAAAAGTATCACTAGTTTCTCGATAGTTTTCACTTCTCAGAACCAAGTTTTTGTTGCAAAGTTGTACAATTACGTACCGTCGTGTTTGCCACGAGACCGAAAAAGACAATCCAAATTCGTTCTGTGTTCTACAGTTTCGTAGTCAAAATGGATAAACTTACGTGCCGAGTTGAGTAGTAAACACCGAGAACAGCACCGACCGTGCCCAGGGCTATCAGCACCCCGAGAACGACGAGAATGACGGCGCATCTTCGAGTGCAGCACCCGGTCGGTTTGACCTCGACTTCGGAAACTTTGTCCTTCTGTGTGCCAGGATGAAAGGTCCAAACCCACACATGTATAACTATTTGAATATTATTTTCTTGTTTATGAAATTAACAGTCTCAGGATCATTTGGCATCTCTGGTTTTAATGGTGGGGCCTTTGACCCCGAGTCGAGTTGTTTGAGGTGAGGGGCAAAAAATATTTTTAATTTCTCTCTCCCTTTCGTTTGTTTTTTCTTCATATTTTATTTCTCTGAATGTCACAGAGAAATCATCAGCACATCTTCAGTAAGACCGTAAGTCCCGAGGGACTACAAACCATACATGCGCCAGTCTTGAACATGATATAGGTCTGCCGTGTTCCCAGCCGATTTCAAAAGTATTTAGCTGACGCCTATAGGTCTATGGAGGATAGAGAGACTGAAATCTACAGGACTTTGCACGGTTCGTCTCCAGCGTCGTCGCCTATGCTGAAAAGAGTCTCGTCATGTTTTTTGAGTTCATTTTGTTGGCCGAGATCTTTCGGGGTGTGGACACAACATGAGATAGGCATGGGGAGAGGCAGTTTATTCCTCCACTCATTATGGCTAGCAAACGACTAGAAAGGATTAACTCACTGGTATTTTGACCTCCACAAAGTCCGCGTTCTCGCCAATTGGCCAGGAAGGCTTCTTGAACTGTTCCTTGTGATCCTCTGGATTCGCGGCGTAGACGGCTAACTGCACCATCTTGTCTCGAAGTAAAGTTCTTTCCCCGACAGCAATATTTCCTCTTTTGGCTCGAATGTGGAGACACGGCTTAAACTGACAGCCTTGCTGTGTTCCGAGTATTTATATTGGACAGGCGTGATGCATAAAAAAACACTTAAATGCATCTTTGTTCCGACCGTGAGTGACGCAACCCCATGTTGACATTTCGGATTTGATGGTGTGGGTGAGCAAAGTTCTGCAAAACCTATCGGCGTCTCATGTTTGTGGCATGACGTTTTGCCATGTTGTAATTGCTGTCCTTAAGTCGAGTGGTGTTCAAAAAGTGAATAAGTTCATCCTATACTGAGAACTTTACATTACAATGATTCAAGAGTATCAGATGTAAGAGGTGGTGTCCCAGGGGAACTGAAATTCTGGCAACTAGAAAACCCGGAACTAAATATTTTGAAAAGTGGTACTCCGTAGCCTGTTTTTGTCAAGGGCATCTTGAAGTTTATTCTCTCGGTGTGTTTGGGAGGGTCATCACTTCAGGCCTAAAACATACAGTCTTAGGTGTGTAATTATCTCATGGCTGACTTCTATCTACATTTTGGCTGAATTCAACAAAGGGTCCCTCCAAACCAACATCCGTGTTTGAAGTTGAGGGATTTTTTCCCAGATTTCCAGGGATTGTCTAGTTTTCGAGGATCAGAATCGATGACAAAGTAACCTCTGCATCAAAGTTCCCTGCTTAAAAAATGTCACAGTACATATTTAATCACTTATAAATAAACAGGTGTAGATAAATATTTACTCTGACATATTTACCGAGTTTAGCCAGAATTCGGGGTGCAGTCCCCGACAGCCAACTTCCTTGTTTGACGCGGAGGGATTTTCCCTGGATTTTCAGGAGGTGTTTAGTTTTTGAGCCCCAGACTCGATGACTACGTAACCTCTGGTCAAAGTCCTCTGCTTATGAAGTCGAGACTGTAAGACTCATGACGAAGTACAACATAGCGCAGCAGGATGCCACAGCGCGCTGTGGGTAATGTTGACATACTATATGTCGGGCACTCTGATTGGTGCACGAGCAGCCCAAAGTTCCCTGACCTGTCGCTTACGTCAACAACTTCGACCAATCAGCGCGTAGCAAAGGTCTCCCCGCCGGGCACACTCCGATGCTAACAGCGAGCAGGTAAGAGGGCCTTCACGCGCAGCATGAGGTCCAACATTGCTGGAACCGGAATTTCCCGCGCTCTACAAGATCCTGGTTAGACGAGGATATATAGTTCCAAATAATCTCGTCGCATAATTCTTATTGACAAACAGGCTCAATTTGCACTTCAGTTGGGTTTCGAAGAAAATAATCTCCAAGAGGTTATCGGTTCAAATCAATATCACGAGGACACAATCACAAGACAATATCTGCGGTAGAGGCACGGTACTGTCGGAGATTAATAAAGCAACCTTCGGTGGGCATTTCTCACCTAAAAAGCAATTGGATCACGATACCCTGACTATTGATCGAGTGGCTAACAATGATGGTACCCGTAGCTACACAGAAGGATATAAGGAAAAAATTGCTTCAAATTTGCCCGTTTATTTCGACAATTTGGCTACCGAAGACCAGACTACGCAACAACTTGCTGTTTACAAAGTAATAATGTTTAAGAGCCAAATCACAGACTTTTCAATGTTGCTACGAACAATGCATGGTCCCATAAAGTTGAAGATCTACATAACAAAAGTTTTGTCAACAGAAATCAGACCAAATGTACATAACTTTATAAACAATTAAACATCTGTTTAAAACTAAAATATGCAAATATAAAACAATCTGGGTACCGGCAAATGAACAAAAGATTACATTCTTTTCAACATCTTACAAAAGTCTACGTACAGGAGAAATTAAGGAAAAATGAACACTCTATACTCCAATTACCTCCCGAAATACTGAAACATTGAAAAAACAGCAATAACCAGCAAATTCACAAAACAAAATGGCACTGACAGCTGAAACCTTATACGTTCGGTGAGGAGGCTCTCCAAACAGTGCAAGAATATCTCGATCCAATCAGATATTCCAACTTGTCCAAGAAGAAATAAAATGAACGAAAATGTAACTAAATAATTCATCAAGTCTCAAAGTCTAAATTGGGGTTTTAGCCACCAGCACAGGACAATATGAGCCCCATGAAAGTATAAACAACTATGGACCAAAATGCGAAGTGGAAATTTTGCTTCAAAAGCTACAAGAATATAACACTTGGTCAAAATTAACAACTTAAAAATTTCAACAGAACTGGGGACAAGGTCTTTTCAATTTCTGGTCACCGAAAGTGGAAGTCTCTGCAGGAGAACATTCCAAACATCAGCTCCCTTAACAATTTAAAGGGTAACCTAAAAAAAATCTCATTTCCTTCATGACATTGGAAATCCGTCCACTGGGGTTTTCTTTGGCAGTGCATCATATGTGGAAATTCAAATTATAAAGAATTGACACGGTTGTTATTAGTTAAAGATCGAGAAAATAACACAGCAAAGAATTGGAATGAGGCACTGTGTCCCAATCATGGTGACCGGTGATGCTGTGATGACGTTCAGCCTCATGCTGTCTCTTCCTGCACATTGGTAAACCCCACCCCTGAGGCCGTGTACTCAATACCACTGGTTGTCTCATTCTGTGTGACAAGTTATAAATAACCCCTTACAGGTTAGAAAAGTTTTAATTTTCACTGGAAATATGTGGACTCTGTTCTAAAGTTATATTTTAGATCTCAGTTGTCGTATGAAGGATTTGCATGACAAAGTCAGACATATCAAGACATTGATGCATTCCACATCTCTATAGTTGAAATAGTATAGCTAACTGTCTTTCTGTGAGCAAACACGGAGCATACTTACGGGCAGGCCTGTGTCTCTTTGACCGCTGTAAGTGGGATTTTCGAGTCCAGAGGTCACAGGTGGATCAGCACTATAAAAGAGAAAATGAAAGAGGTTTGCAATTTTTTGGCTCTTCCGGGGCGCAAAAAAAACAATGACAAATCATGAAATAGATGGTTGGGCCGGGGGAAATAAATTGCAGTACGTGAGGTTGTTGAATCACAAAACTGGGGGTTCGTACATTCTTGTTTTTACACAATCCATGGAACTAACTTGTCCTCAGACAAGTATATTGAAAAAAAAATGGAAATTTGAGAAAATATGGGATGAATACTACTTCAAAAATTGCTGTAGCTGAAAATGGATGACGGTTGGGAATGTGGGCACAGGTAAGGTTGCATTTGGAATGGTTATAACGTAACGGCTTCAGAACTCTGATTCGCTCCAATTGATTTTGGAACGGATCCAGGTTAGGCCCAGGGGGGGATTGACATTTACCATGTGAGTAAACTAGAGTTCTTACGCCACTACGTTACAAATGTTCAATATTCAGCCTTCAGTTGTTGGTTTTTTAAATATGTGAGACAGCTGATTACAGCCGGCTATCTATAATGAGAGTGGGAAGGGACATAGACTGCATCCGAATCTGTTGTCTAGAGCTAGGTCTAGTTCTAGCCGTAGCTCTGGAAGCCCATTTCGGTCACGGCCATAGACTGGGGAGGACTGATCTGTGAAGTGAGCCCTCAATCTTTCATGATTAATTGCATCCTCCATTCCCAGGTTCCCTCCATTCCCAGGTTCCCTCCATTCCCAGGTTCCCTCCATTCCCAGATTCCCTCCATTCTCAGGTTCCCTCCATTCCCAGGTTCCCTCCATTCCCAGGTTCCCTCCACTCCCAGGTTCCNGTTCCCTCCATTCCCAGGTTCCCTCCATTCCCAGATTCCCTCCATTCTCAGGTTCCCTCCATTCCCAGGTTCCCTCCATTCCCAGGTTCCCTCCATTCCCAGGTTCCCTCCATTCTCAGGTTCCCTCCATTCCCAGGTTCCCTCCATTCCCAGGTTCCCTCCATTCCCAGGCCACACCCCCAACCTGCAGGCGTATCACACTACCACTGGCAGCAGACGGGGTGAAGGGGGGGGGTAGGGAGTCAGTTTTTTTTGCAGGTCCGATAGTGCGGTGAGGCTTCATAGATCAGTCTATTAATGACAGATGCCTGACGGTCCTCACAACTGGCCCCCATGCATTTTGAAAATTGTTCCGCCGCCGTTGCGCACAAGCTAGAGATATCAACACCAACCATCCAAATTACCCTCTCGGAGCCCAAGAGCCACTTAAAGCGAGACAAAAATCCACTTACAATTTGGTAGCTTTTCTGAACTTCACGAAGTACACCGTTAGGGAAACCAACCCCAGGATGATAGCTAACGCGAGTATCGTCAGGCCAACAATCAGGCCTGTGTTACTGCTCACACCTGCAATGAAAAAAAAAAACCCAAGATGAAACCTGTCACCCTCAAGCGTGGCCTTCAAACTGTCAAACGATTTCCTCAACCCCTTGACACCGCACGACGTGTAAACACACATAATTTTCCTTATTTGTCCCACAGAGGACATGTACACTCGTTTAAAAATTCTTTTTTTTTTTCATTTCTGCGATTGGGGTATTAAAATGGCGTTCATGGTAGGGCAAAGTGCAATTGCGAGGTTAATAGAACTTGCCGGTAAAATAAACCCGCCCCCAGCAGCTTTTTCGGGTAAGAAAATCCGGTATTAACTGGCTCAGTGTAAATTTAACAGTTAGGATCTTGGCATTTGGTAATGCATCTATTGTCTGCAGATTTGTGAGAGTTTGCAATGCAGATTCGAAACAGAAATATCTCCACTTACTTGGATTGAAGTTTTCTTCAGGATTGGTTGAATTCACAGCTGTAAAAAAAAATGAACTAAAAAATCAAAATAAATAATGAAGTACCCAATTGACTTGAAAATAAAATTTTTGAATTTTAAACTAACAGTCATGAATCCTCACATCACAGAATAACGAAGTAATTTTTCATTATTAGTCTTAGCGTTAATCAGACCTTGCATGCCTAAAATAGCCTTTCGACGGCTTATGCAATAAAACGTGGCGTAGGCAATGACCCGTCATTTTGGAACTTTTGTGGAATAGAGATCACTAGGTTTTATAAACCCTCGTTAAAATCAATTACAAAGAACAAAGCTTGCACTCACGGCAGACAAAACCATCCCTGCGTTCGTCGTACAGGTCTGACGGACAGTCCACAACCCCATCGCAAAGCCATGCCGTGGGGATACAGACCTTGTCGGCAGGGCAGAGCACTTCCTGGTAACCACAGGAACTAGGGATCTCTATGGGAACCGCCTCCTCTGAGGGGCAATAAAAATCAGTTGTGAAAATCACATCGGTTAAAAGAGAATGAAAAGATCTTTGTTTAATTTGAACAAACCCAAAGGGAAGCAGGATCTCCCTGTGAACAATGCATTATAGCGCCACCTTGCCGATTATCCGGCTGTTTAAGAGTGACACCTTGCACGTGCTCTGACAGCCATCGGCCTGTCTTACAAGTTTCAAATTTCTGCCGCTGAGTGTGAAGACATTTTTCATTGAGCACGTGCAGGAAACAATTTCATTCATAGGCATTCGTTGAAGGTTAACCTGATGTTTCCCTTTCATGAACAATTTCGGGGAGCAACATGTTGGCAAAAGTCTTTAAATAGCCTAACTTGTCAGAAAAACAAGTCGGAGAATCACAATAATTGAGAAGAATAAACCCCAAATTGACCATTTTATTTCTATCAAACAGATAATGAATACTTCCGATTAAAAAACCTTAACAATCTCGAAAACAACCTTGAACATTGTCAGGCATTTCTGAAATATCGTTCCACTTTAACAGTAAACAATACAGGCCCATTCTGAACAATTTATTTAAAACTATGAACTATGATCTTTTCCACTGAGCTAGATGTCAGCACAGAAGTTGGACTCCTACCTGGCTTCCCGCATCCCTCCAGGAATGTCACATCATCGATTGCAATGTCTGAGCTCCCCGTGGTGTCCACGATCCCTTGGAAGACGACCGAAAAGTTGTTGTTGTTGGAGACGAAGAGGCTGCCGTAATTCCATTCGCTTCCCTGGGCACCGGTGGCCGTCCACATGAGACTCATGTGACCGTCTGATGAGGCCGACTTTGTATAAACCTGTGGCAGGTCCAATAAATGGACACTGAAAATTCTCTTGCAAGATCCACCCAAATGACAACTGTTTGATCGACGAACAGTGATTTCAAAGATTTATTAAGCAGACTCGGCTGACACCTTCATCAACCAATCCATTTTCCAAATCATTAATTAATTCATTGATGGATAAGTTTAGTAAATCAGATGCAACGTCCTTGACAGACTTCCAAATTTTGTTTTCCGGCAGGATTCACGCAAATGTTAACCTTTTCTTTGACCCAAGCCAAGTGCAAAATGCTTGTGCGTGCAACACTGCAATGTGAATTTTAAATGAGCAGAGATGTTGGGCAACCCAACTTTCAGCAAAATCTGTCAGTGTGCAGCTGATATCTAGTATCTCTAACTAAAGAACAGACACTTTACAGGGTAACTCATTGGTGTCAGTCACCGATGAAGATTTTGGAGGGTCACTTATTCTAAGGAAAGGGGTTTTGAGAAATTTACTGGTCCACAGAACGTATTTTGTGTGCCTTTCAGGGCTGCGTGATCGATTTGAGATGTTGGGTGACCAATCTTCAGCAACAGCTGCAATCTGTAGGTAATAATTGCCGTAAGAGGTAACTGACCGATGCTGGTCTGGCCTTGATGAATATTAAGAGGGCTACTTTTACTCTAACGGCAGGGGGTTTTGAACTCACCTGTAATGTCCCGACACTTTTTCCTCTCATGTGATACCAGAATCGCATCAGGCAGACATTGGTGCTGGCTGGGAAGACGGGGGTAGCGACCCTTGCCATGTCATTCTGCCTCCGACCGGAAGCCTCGATGAAGAGGAAACTGCCTGGGAAGTTCAAAAGCGTAACGGCAGGTTCACGCTTCTGGCAAATGCGAAGCAAGTCTGACGTCAGAAAAGATCTCTGCAGCAGTATTTTGTTTTGAGTTCAAATCTATTCAAGTGCGAATTTGAGGCACAAATATTTGATCTGAGGTCACAAATTTGCATTTTGCTTGCTTTCACACCGGGTGTGAAGAACTTCAGAACAACTGTTCTTCAAGATGACTCTGTCCTCTGTCATGGGATGGAGGTTTCCTACTCAAGGTGTTAGTGATATGCTACAAATTTTTGAGAGAGATCATGCAAAATGGCACCTTAACTTCCACGTGGCAACCAGTCAGTGATGGTCTTTCCCAAAGAAAAACCTCAGCCTAGGGCCACTGACCAATAGACATGCAGCTTTATACAATGCTTCTGATTGGCTGGTTCCTAGGGTTTTACAGTCGTATAAGCGCAGTCCGTGTATCACTTATTAAAGGTTGTCTTTCCTAGCGAATTAACTTACAACTACTGATGAACAGCTATGATGTTTTGGTCTTGCTTCAGACCAACAGTGGATGGGGGGGATGTCATTTGCAAACAGCACCTATTTTTCAGGCTAAAAGGGGCAAATCTAGTTTGGTTTTTATCATTTTATCATTCAAAATACGCTTCAAACCTAATTTCAAATAGATTTATTTTTCTTCTTTTCAACACTTTGACGTTGATAGGGAATCTTCCCCACTTTGAGCGATGATGGTCGGACCATAGCCTTACCACCGTCGGCGTTGTGGTCACTGTTGGGACCTGTGTCGGTGGTGGGCGTGCTCCGGTCCTGTGTCCAATCAAAATCATCGTTGGTCAGCTGGGTCCAGCCACAGGCTGTAGTGAAGGGGTAGTCATCAAAGTTGCAGTCGGCAGGCTGAGGCTCTGAGAACACAACGTTCAAGACCCCAAGAGAAGGTTGAGACCTTCATACGTGACTGCATGCATCATTTCAGCAATCTTGGGAACGATTTTTCCTGTTTGACTATACACGGTCTTGAAGTCAAATTTTTGCCGATAGAGGGTTTGCATGGCTGCCATCTTGCAGGTCAGTGCTCTTGTTCCATTGGGCATGCAAAAAGGAGGTTTCTCCGTGGAACAAAAGAACTGCCCTGCAAGACGGCTACCACGCAAAGCTTCTATTCTGACACCCATATCAAAATATAACATGCAATGCGTATCACTCCCAGGGTACCCATTAATTAAAGGGGCCACTGTACAGATCAAGTGTCGAAAGTTTTTGGACACAGCTGTTGACATTGTTGACTGCAATGTTTACTGAATGTAACTTACCACAGTTTTGTTCATCCGCACCGTCCACACAGTCGTAGCCGTAATCGCAGACGTGGGTGAGGGAGACGCACTGGCCATTACCGCACGTCAACTCCTGATCCGTACAGGGCCGAGAGAAGTCGTCTGTGAACAGAACACAAACAAGTTTGTAATCGTGGATATCTCTAGACCACATATTTCATTTGGGGCATTCAACCTGTGAAAATATCAGTCAAAAAAAATCATGGCAATAATATTCAATCCACATGCACAAATAACTGGAGAGTCAGGTTAGCAGAGTTTTTTTTTCCTCGCCTTTCACCTCTGTGGCCCTGGTTCAAATCCCGGCCCAGTCCACATGTGGATTGGGCTTTCAGTCCCGATCTGATGCCGTGGGTTTTATCTAGAATATTCGCCTGGGGTTTTCCTCCCTCTTCTAATCATGGGACATCTATCATTAGTCTGTACGGACCCTTACCATCTCTGCAATTCTCCAACGTGACGTCATCGATCGCGATGTCTCCGGTTATCGTGATACCTCGGACGGCTTCAATGACTATCGCAAAGTTCTCTTGGTGACCGATTACGAGGTCGCCGGTGGACCGCCATTTATTGCCCTGGCTGTCGGCGACGGCAAACAGCTGCGTAACCTGGATTTCATTTACCAGAGTTTACAAATTAGTTTAGATAGTCATAACAAAAGAAGAAAAATGCTCTTTTCTTGCCTTTGAAAAAGATCCAGCTTGGATGGAAATGCGGAACCCTGGAACTAATTAGATTTTTATATCAGTGGGCCACCACAGTGAGAATGTATCCTAGATGCTGATGATTTCAGGTGCAATTTAATGATGACTCAGCAACATCTGATCAGAAATCAAAATCCTATATTATTGCGTTTCTTGGGGTGCACTGTACGTATTCACAGAAAGCTGAGATTTCCTTAGGTTTGTTCTAAGACGCAAGATTTTGAGTAATTCATTGTCTCAAAGAACATAATCCACAATGACAAATGACGGACCGTATCCTCAAATGCCATGTACAAGGTCGTGTTTGCGAGATGAAGTAACACGCTATTCATTTGGCAGGAGAGTAACAGGTCTGATGAACTCCTTACTTTACTCTCAGTCTTCAGGAAGATGCCCAGTGATCCGATGGTGCTACCTTTCATGTGGTACCACAGCGACAGGGTGCAGGCGTCGCCCGAGTGCTGGAATGGCAGCGACTGCAGGTGAGCTTTCTCCTGGTTGTCGCCACCGATGGCGCCCGACGCTTGGCTGGTGTCCACGTACATGTAGTAACCTGACAGTACAGAAGGAAAAATCACGGAGTTGGTTGAAGACTAAAATCTTTCACAACAGGTGACCAAAATCTTTTCTACAGAAACAGAGACATTTTAGAGGTCTGAACTCAAATGTGGTCCACAGTATTTGCATGACTAAGGAACCTTTCTTTTAATTATCCTTTTAGAAGTATGGCAGACACAATAGGAGGGCGCTATTTGGATTTTTTTTTGCACGAATTTTCACATTTTTATCTTAAATCTCAGAAGTTGTAATTTAGTGTCTTCAGTCCCAAAACCTTTAGTCAAACCTTGCATTCGGTAAGTTTTTAGAAAATAGCACTTAGGTAAAATTCAACCCCAGAAATCCAGACAAATGTGCCAAAATCCAGTCAGTATATCAAGACTGACATAAAGAAAAGAAAGTTATATTTGTACCGAATTCTGTTCCGAGGGTGTGGTCAACAGTTGGTCCCGTATTCAAGTTTTCAGTCTGGTCCCCGCTGGCCCGCAACCAGTCCAAATTCTCCTTGTAGGAATTCTTCCACCCACAGGTGTCCGTCTCAAAATCGCAGGTGTTTCCTGGAACGTAGAGGGCAAATATTTTTTACAGATTTTAATCCATGGCCTTCTTCCATATTTGATGGCTTAAGGCTGGTTTATTATCAGCACAATGCAAAAACAGATGCGAATATGTGACTTCAAATCAAGTACTCGTGCTGCAAATTTTTGAAGGTCGAACTGATTTCAACTCGAGTGAATTTTGCTGTAAATGATTTGTGATGCCAATTTCGTTTCGCTTTCTCATTTGCAAGCTTGAGAACAAGTCTTCAACCTGTACACCTCTACAAGATGAGTGTCAAGTCAGGCTATCAGCAGCTCATATGTACATACTACGTGACTCACAGTGACTCACAGTGACTCACAGTGACTCACTCAGAGACTCAATCTGGCTTTTGGGTTTTAGCAAAGCATTCTCACCGCAAATTTCATCTGAGCCGTCAGCGCAGTCGGCTACTAAGTCGCAACGGCTGCGCGGGTCATAGCACTGGTTGGTGGTGGCACACTTGAGTCGGCCGTCGGCGCAGTACTGCTCAGTGCTGTTGTTGAAGGGGGAGTCAGGCATGACTCCGCCCCCAATGCAAGACGCGGTGAAGGAGAAGTCATCCAGTGCTATCTCGCTCTGGCTGCCATCACCAACGACACCCTTTATGACAATCTGTCAAGGGAGAAACAGATAGAATCTTTCTTTTTCAAGACCAACACAAGACCTCCAGTCTCAGCGAATTTGAGTCCCAAGACATTCAGAAGAATTGCAACAAAAGCATTCTTTTGTCACTGTTTGCCCTGTTTGTGATTGGGATTTGTCTGGTCTTGTGACTGGGTTGGTTTCTCGTCTTAGGACCGGTCTTGTGACTGGTCCAATCGTGACTGGTCTTGTCTGGTCTTGTGAGTCTACCTTGTGTCACGGGCTTGTGATGGTCTTGTGACCAGTCTTGTGATCAGTCTTGTGACCGCTCTTGTGCGTGGCATTGAGTCCAGTCTTTTATCTGTTAATCTCCAGGGCTTTTGTCAAGTCTATAAGTTATAAGGTAAATAACAGGATGAATACCGAAAGAGGAATACTTTTTGCTTCGTCAGTCAGTTCATTTGAGTCGCTTGTGTCTTACATTAAGACCAGACGGTGAGGGAAATTTGAAACACTACATGAAGAATTGTTGAGCTTCGATTCTAACTTACATCAAAGTCTTTGCCCCTGCTTGGGATAGGCACCTCTCTCAGTTGCCAGTAGTCGCCTTGCTCTCCGGTTAACGAATCAATCACGATGACCTCGTCAGGGTGAAGGTAAGACGTGACTTGAAACACCTCCAAAGTACCGATGTCTTTCCCCCTCATGTTGTACCAGAACCGGAACTACAAATAATGACAATTTAGTTTGAACGACAATCTAAAACAAGGTTTGCGGGTACACCATGTGGAATCGATCTCCTCTCTAAGAGTGGTGGTTCTTAGAGGAACCGGTGAGTGTGAACTCGACACTTCGACCAGGATGTTCTGGTCTTTCTAAGGAGATGCTCCGGTCATTCTAAGGAGAGATCTCAAACTGTCGAGTTTACACTCACCTATTCTTCACAGAGCCACCGCTCTTATAGAAGAAATCAGTTTCACATGATGTACCCACGAACCTTTTCTGAGGAAAAGGGTTCTCCTTGTCTGGCCTCCGCCATGCAAAGTTCCAAATTTTACTTAGTTTGGGCGACAGGTAATTTACTCAAGTCATGAACAAAAATTATCTTGTGACTGTTTGTGGGTACTGATCAACTTAAGCACGGCATGGATTTGTCTCGATATGTACAAGAAATAATGTTGTTGATGGTCTTCCTACCGTGCAATCACTGGTACTTTTCCTGCTCATAGTGGGGCTGTGTATTCTGGCACGGTCACCAGCCTGCCTCGGGTACAGTGCCTCCGTGTAGATATAATATCCTGCGTGTCGGAAAGTTACAGAAGGCATTTACAACGATCCGTCAGTGCTTGAAATGAAGTGACGCCGTAAACGACCAGACTCTAGTCCCCCCATTAAATGGAAAATGGCGGTACCCCCATGCTCACTCCTTTGGATCTCTCACAATTATTCCAATCAAACAGCTTTGCTGAACTTGATCTCTACTGCGTAATCTTGAACTGCTCTAGGTGACCAACATGATGCAGGTTACCAGCAGTGGAACGATCTTTTTGAAAGACCATCAGGTATTAGCCATTAATGGGCTGATCCAATAAGCCCCGCCCCATTGCAGGACTTGCAAAAAAAGGGGGAGGGTAATTGCCCCACCCACCTCCACCACCAGTGCTGTAGGTTTATTGTCCTGCAAAACTCTGTGCCATTTAATCGGAGATATTGATGCAGTTGACAAATGAACTCTCTGTCTAGAATGTTCCTGCAGATACGAAATCTAAGTTATAGCCTACCGCTAGCATAGTTCAGGTTGGTGTGATCGTGCAGTGGGCCCGTTCCCGGATTGATCGTGTTGCCACCCCTCAGCGTCCAATCGAAGTCATCCTCGTCGTCTTGGAACCAGTCACAGATGTCCAGGGAGAAGTCGCAGCGCCCGGGATAGCCGGCTGTAAGGATTTTAACCAAACCTTTACTTACAGACGAAAACTGAATTTTAAATCTCTAACGATCTCCTAGGAATGGCTCTCTCGGAGTCAGTCTAGTCAGAGATCTCGAGAGATTGAGATCCATAAATGTTATTTTCCTCTCACAGCAGCTTTTTGGCAATGTCTGGAAAACTCACCGCAGTGTAGCTCATCCGAGTAATCCAGGCAATCGTTGCCATAGTCACAGACTCTCGCAGCATCAATGCAGTGGGAGTTACTGCAGGTAAACTGGTCCTCCGTACATGGGATTCCGTCAAACACTGAATAAATTAGCAAAGCATCACCACGTTAGCTTCCGATTCTTATTATCGGAGGTGCAAACGTATCAACTTTAAACTTTGTTTTAATTACAGGTTTTGCCCGCACCCGATGCATATTCATAAAACATGTACACTCAGTGCTTGTCTAAGAGCCCGTGAAAAAATCCCACATGCTTACTTGGGTGGGACTCGAACCTACTCCTGATAGAATGGAAAAACCTGAAATGAAAATTAACTTCTCCCGACGCAGAGTGTATTTTGGGGGCTTGTTCAGAACATACATTTGATACATTCGTCTCTAAACAGCTTAACAGTTTTATGGTCTGGAAGAAATTAGGCCGTGACCTTGTGGTTAAGAGCACTGAATTTGCGGTCGGCGGGTGAAGCCGCAGGTTGCGGGTTCGAATCCAGCCTGGAGACATGGTGCGTGTGCCCTTAGGCAAGGCACTTTATCCTCATTGCCTCTCTCATTGCCTCTCTCTCCACCCAGGAGTAATTGGGTACATGTGAGGGCAGAGCTGGATATTGTGGCTGATTTTAATAGCTGCTTGGCACTGAATAGTGGCAGCATCGAGCTGTATACTCCCCAGGGAGCCGAGATGGTATTTGGAATGTTTCGTAGGCCCATTGAGCAGGGGTAATAATGGAAAGTGCTTCGATCTTAGTGTAAAAGTGCTACAGAAGAACCTGTTATTATTCTTTCTAACATCCCAACACAAGCTACAAGCATAACTGAACATTCCTGATCACTACAAAAGGCCGACCAACTTCACTTACAAGGAGGTTCGCAGTCAATAAAGGTGATGTCGTCTATGGTCACGTCCCCGACAAAGCTGGCACCACGCCTTGCCTGGATAATAATCTAGGAGACAGACAAAAGTCCACAGTCTGGTCTGACATAACTGTCTGAGTCTCACTGGACTCCTACAAAGCTCATCAACAGTGTGTAACAATAAGTAAGTCTCGAACTGAATGCATCCAGAGAGTCACAGAAAGTAAGGGTAAGTTTTGCAGAAACAAATTCATTGGTAAAGCTTCTTACTAAAAGATGGTGCACAGGACTATAAACGGTAACACTCTTGTTTTTTAGCAGTACGACTGCTCCTGCGGACACTCTAAACATTGTTGGGAACACCGAAATTCCTAAAATTCGGTCAAAATATATCTCATAAAAGAACTCTTCCCCAATATGTGGTCCTGGCCAGAACACACGTTTACTAACGAGTAGACAGTTTTCTAATAATGATTTTTTGGTATGAGGGAGAGTTACCGCCAATTTTTTGTCCGTTGAGTTTGCCATTACCTTGAAATTATACGAGGCTCCAATATACACCTGCTCCTTCCTCCACTTATCCTGGCTGGTGCCGCCGACGCGGTACCACAGCGGTCGGCGGTAACCGTTGGCCTCGGCGAAGATGCTGAAGGTGTCAACGTCTGTGCCGTACATGTGGTAGTAGAATTTCATCTGACAGTTGCCTCCGGTCTGGGAGATTGTTGGTGAATTGAGCTCCGTGGTGTCGAAGACGGTGCCCGGCGAGCTGTCCACGTACATGTACCATCCTGGCGGTATTAGAAAGAGGGGTGATGTTGTTGTGCACCGGCGGCAGAATGATTTTCGAAGTGGGGGGGTAGTTGTTAGACCATCGGGCATCAGCCAGTTAGGGCTTGATCCAAGGAGCCCCACCCATAAAAAGGCCATTTGTAGGACCTGCAAAAAGTGCCCCAGCCCCCAATCCCCAATTTCCAAAGGACAGTAAGCTACTGGAATTCCTCCTCGCTGGCATTCCTATTCCCTAACCTTGTGCCGTCCCTGTGGTGTGATCCGTGTCAGGCCTCGATTCGCCCGCTTCCTGGGTGAAGGGCTGACCTCTGACCCATTGAAAACTGGGAAGCCCTTGTTGGTCACTCGACGCTTGACCTTTGAATGTCCTCGGCTGCACTTCCTGCCATCCGCAGACGCCCGTTTCAAAGTCGCAGTCCTGAACTGAAGGGGAAACAAGATGCCTAAAAATTTCACGGCACGCCAATGGTGTGGAAATCGCTACGTCGACCCGCAGCTCACGCACTCTTAGCATCTGATGCAGTCTGGTGCACTTCATATCTGCAAACAATTCTTGTTAAAATATTTTTTTGGGGGGGCACCGACCTGTCTCTGCTTTAATTGCCAATGAAGGAGAACTTCTGGTCAGAGAGGGTAAGAGAAACAGTTTTGCCAATGTTGGGATGTCGTAGTAAAGGTAAACAATACAGGCGTTTCAGAAACGTGCGCCTCCTGGCCAATCACAATGCTTGAAATCTCTTGACCCTTTCCAATCATGCAATGGGTCCACAGATTTCGCACACTGTGATTGGCCAACATGTTGTAAACTCTCGGAGGCACACTATTGCTAAAAGCCCGTATTGTTGACGATTTCAGGAATACTGGCATTGGGGTTGAAAAGCATATTTCGTTTCCTTTTCTGAAGATCTACTCACCGCATCCCGCTTCATCGGACCCGTCCGAGCAGTCCCACCTGAAGTCGCACAGATGCCGCCCGTGAATGCACTTGTTCTCCGGAGCGCAGAAGATGCCTTCGAGGCAGCCGGTGTGGCGGTTGTGGGTCGTGGGCGGTACAGTGGTGGTGGGGTCGTCGGCGGGCGTGTTGGGAAGCTGACCTGTGCAATAGTTGAATAAAACGATGACGTGAGCGCGGTAAGGAAAAGATTGAACGGGAGTCGGACACAATCACACCATGACCATCACAGTAAAAATTAGCAATCTTGCACGGTGCATGCTAAGAAAGCAAAACATGCTCACTAAAACTGACTGAGTCAGGATGGAAGTCAAAGGCAACGCATAACGCTCTCCTTTGGTAAATCCCTCTTATCAGTAAACATACATGTTACAACCTTGGCATATTCTGGTACATTCAGAACTACACTGGCCAAACTTTGTACCATCCAGACTCACACATAACCTCTAAGCCTGACGGAGAAACCTAGAAATAAGCAAAAACTTCTTTAGATTCTGACACAATATAAGCAGGTGTTTTAGGATGCGAAAATCGTCAAGTCTGCACAAACCGTTATACACGACGCAGCCAGATGTGAGCGACACATCATCAATAGCAATGTCTCCATTAAGTCCATCCCCAATGGTTGCTTCAATTACAATCTGTGGACCATAAGGGATACACTCAACAATTTATCTACACAATGAAAAGTTCAAGAGCTGCGTCATTTCAAAGGACTATGGCGCCTTAAGAAATCCAACCAGGCCTAGCTATCCGAACATCCAGTAGTAAACAAAAACACATATTAAATGAAAATATGATCCTCTTTTAAAGAAAATGATGCAAATGTACATTTTGAAAGAAAACCTACAAACTTTGGCTGCCAATGAGAATAATAGGTCCACTGAGAATTAACTACTGTGAACTGCACGTTGAACCTTCAGAGAGTATGTCTCTGGTAATTGGTCAAAGTGGGAAAAAAAATGACCATGAAGTTGTAGGAAGTTGCCAGTGTGATCTCTGCCCTCTGCCAGAAGTTGCCCTGCTCGGTGAACCGGAACCACAGGGGATCGGTCAAGGCGGTAGTGTCAGCATAGCGACTGGCATACACGTTCAGATAATCCACGTCTTCGCCGTACATATGGTAGAAAAAGCGAATCTGGAGTGGGGAAGCATGAGTTTAACTGATGACCCACTACTAATATGACTTTTCTCATATTGCGAATGGACACTTCCCAATAGTGAAATAAACACAAGTCCTCCTAACATCTGAGGACATATCCTTTGGGCTACGCACTGCTCATGCACATTTCATGGGTTTCGTTGAGTATATGACAGATTTTGTGTCCTGTTTAACAACTTTTGATTGTTCCTAATCTGTTTTATGGTGTCCCGATTCTGTTTCATTTTGAAAGTTTCCATCCCTGTTCACTATCAGGTTCATCAGGTAAATGCACTTCGTATATATGGTCCTAAACTTTTGCAAATGACTGTAATAATCTCTGCCAACTTATCCAACAGGGTACAATTTGTGATGGCAAGCTACATTCAAGCGTGCATTAAAATTTGACGAGCATGTGCATTTGGCAAATCCCGACACCTTATAAAGGCATGTGCAAGTATGCGCGAGTGGGGCCTTTTTAAGAGCGTTGTGTTACACTGCAGTAACGGCTTCTTATTTCGGTCGATAAGTTACACTATATTACACACCTGGCATGAACCGTCGGGGGCGGCTTGGAAGCTGAGGCTCAAGAGCTGTGCCCTGGCCTTGAAGGGATGCAGGAACTGCCCATCCAAGTAGAGAAAATGACCTGAAGAATGGGTTTTTGCTACAGTAAGTGCCATTTGAAGAGGTTTACGCCGCACAGACCCACAGCTGGTCTTGGTTTCAAAACCTTTGTGCCTCTCTTTTCTTTACTTCCCCTTGCAGCCGAGTATTGCTAAATTTGGCCTACACGTCTCCGCCAATTTAAATTTTAATTGAGTTCATGATGTGTTCAATTCAGGCATAGATCGTGTTCTACCATTAAGGATCAATTCCTGGATTTGATTGACTTGCATGACTTAAACTGTTACTGCAGGGCATAAGCCCAGCCGTTTTTCTGTGAATTTCACCCTCTATACCAAATATATCCAGGGTATGCGTAACATGCATTAGGTAGTAACGTCTTGGAAACAAGACAAGGCCACGGGTTGCACAAGGAAGGATCGGAGGGTGTTGTTTGAGGAAGGCTGTGTGACACATCTTGAATCACAGCAATTTACTTCTCACTGAGAAAAAAAGTTGCACCGTCCTAACAACTGAAGGTTTAGCCACATTTTAGCTGATCAGGGGGTGCAGACTCACCCAGGCTTGTCCCATATGTGTGATCCCTCGACGGTCCGCTGTTGATATCAAGGGTGGTCCCGTTCCACCATGTCCACTCCAGTTCATCGGTGGTTGACTGGACCCAGCCGCAAAGGTCCGTCTCAAAGTCACACAGCTTGTAATCGTTCAAACCTGCCACACACAAAAATAAATGACAACTTGAGCAGCATTTTTCCTGTTTATTATTTATACAAATACAGGGGCGGATCCAGACATTTTTCAGGGGGGGTCAGGCAGGAGATTTTTTAATGTCTTTTTTTTGGGACAAGCAGAAACGATGATGAAACATTATACGTGTCATACATTGTCTACAATGATATTGGTGCACAAATTACTTTGTATTATTTTCCCAAATTTCCCCTCTTTTTGGTCTCAATGTGTGGGGGGGTGGTTTCCACCTGCTTACACCCCTTGGATCCACACCTGAAATATACTGTAAGAGGAATGGCAAACTAACATTTCGGATCACTGGACAAAAGGTCACATGATTACATTGCAAGGGTCAACAGGGCACTCACAAGGTCAGAAACAGCTCCTAACATTTTAAGGGAATCGGCAGAAGTCAGACTTACCACACAGGATGTCCATCTCGTCTGACATATCACCGCAATCGTCGGCCAAGTCGCAGACTTTGGAGGCATCGATGCAGGCCTTGTTATCGCAGGTCAGCTTGGAGGGAGGGCAGATGGACTCCTCGGGAGGTAGAGTGCAATCCACGAAGGAGATTTCATCGATGGCGATCTTGCCTTGGTAGCGATCCGAGCGAGCCTTGGAGAAACGAACCTATTTACGATGGGTTAAAAAAGACAAGCGGACAAACAACTGTGTTAAGCAACTGCCGCAAAAATGTTAGCATGTGATGGGAGATTCAGACTATAGAAAACTGAACTGCGACATCATTTTGAACCAGGACAAATGCAAAGCAAACAAATGGAGTATTCGCACCCGCGACGGAATGATTTTCAAAGTCAGGAGGCCAGTAGCTAGACCATCAGGCATCAACCATTAATAGGTCGATCCACTGAGCCCCACCCGATTATAGGACCTGCAAAAAGTGGAGGGCCAGACCCCCCAAATCGACAAAGTGTGGGGACCACTGGCTCCCCCGCCCCCCACTTCCACTGCCAGTGAGTATTCGCGCGTTGGTTTGCGCGGTGGTCCTTGCGCTAATGCCGTTTACACAAACAGTTGTGCGCATGACCTATTCACTGTGGAACTTTGTAGTGGTAGGTGATTTTTGAATGTGAAAAAATAAAGTTTGCTCACTGGAGATGAAGCTCATCATTTACTGCAGTCTCAAGACGTCTGGAGTAATTTCTATCCACGCAATCACTACCATACAAGATTACTATCCCTGTTGTTGGCCGCCTGGAAATGTCGCCAACGATCAGGTTGGGAAAATATTCCACTTTCATGCAGCAACCGATTGACAGGACAATGCAAAGGAAGTTCACATACCTTAAAAGGCTCCCTCCTGCGGCCTATACCAACCACAGCCTGCTGCCACTGTTCGCCCTGTGACATCCTCTTCTGCCATAGCAACACCGTATCCCCGGTGACCAGGTTGTCGAGGTACAGGCTGAGTTCCCCTGGCAATGTTCCCGCCATGTAGTAGTAGAAGGACAGCTTGCAGTTGGTGTCGGCGCTGTTGTAGGTCGCGCTGGACATCGCGGCGAGCTGCGACTCGGTGATGGTGCCGAATGCCGCGATGTACATGTAAAAACCTGTGGACGAAAAAAAAGAATCTCCCTTTTCAGACTTTGCCTCCATGTCAGGGACCATCCATGCACCGACGAGACATCCATTGTTGAAATTGCAAGTACAGGCATGCAGTGTGTATTTGAGTCCATCACAAGTCCCTGTAAGACTGTCACCAATCCATCACAAGTCATTCAGTCTTAAGCCAATGCACAAGCTATTCAAATGAACTGCACTGGTCACCCTGTTTCTTATTGTGAAGAGACTTGTGTGACTGACGTTGTGACGGTACTTTGGGAAAAGACTAGTGATGGACTCAAATGCAACACTGATGTGTACTAACAGCAACCACCGGTTAATATATATTGCCAGATCAGGGGGCGGGGGGGTCAAAAGGGGCCACGCCCCCCAAAGAGAACTTTAGTTTAGAAAACGAGGCAATTGGCAGGGGACCACTTTACTTTCCCTCCTCTAACCAGCATTGACAATCCCCAAACATAAGCCTCTCCCTTCAAAAAGGCCATTTTGGGCACAATAAACAGTGTTCCTCATAAAAAGTTTGTTCTAGATCTGACCCTGACAGTTAACGTTCAGTTCCACTGGGTCTCAATGCTATGATTGTGTGAGTGGGCTTGGTTTAATTTCCAGCAATGTCCCACTGACACACCTGACAATGTGCTTATGTAAAACAGGCCTTTATCGTGTGAAATTATCTGGGAACAAATACGGTTCACCAACTCCTTTTACATTTTAGTTACTCCTCAAAGTTACTCCTTGAACTAGGATTGCTCTTAAATAATAGATTTTGACAACGATGCACCAAATATTTCCTACAAGAACAAGCAATTTTGATGTTAGAAAATGCAATTGTGATTACAACACATTTGTTTACTGTATATCTGTGACACATTTTTTTACGTGAGACATTTCTCAGGGGTAGTTGCTCCTACCTTGATCTGTCCTTAGTGTTACGTCCTCTCTTGGTGCCGCATTTGGTGTTGCCATGGTATCGGCACCCCTAGCTCTCATCCAATCAAAATTATCCGGGGTCGTCTCAGTGAAATAACAGGCATCAGCCTCAAAAGTACAGGCCATAGCTAAACAAACAGCACGATACAAATTCACAGATTAGCGACTCTCTCCAGACATCAGTCAACATAATACGAGTGACTCACAAAGACAATGTTAACTTCGTGATGCCCACAACATATGAACTCAGCAAAGCAGGTGTTACTTCCTTGCAACTTACATTCAGCCAGAATGTCACGACGTTTCCTGGCTCTGCCATCTTGGATTTACAGATTTCATGAATTTATTATTGGCATGATATATCGTATCTTTTGCAGTCCAGGCAGAAATCAGGAACAGATTAGCTATTCCTTGAAGCTGCTGCATGCAGGTAGGTTATACCAATGACCTTGAAATCGATACTTACGGCAGGTCATTTCGTCAGATCCATCTGGACAGTCTGGTCTGAAGTCACAAACTCTGTCTTCATCCACGCAGGTCATGCCGTCATAACAAGCGAAATCACTCCGTCGCCGACAGTGGGAGGGCACAGTCGTTCCTGAATTGAATTACAAACTAAAAGGTAACTCCATTCATGCAGGAGATGCTGATATCAGTGCTGAGGTTTTGAATCCGCCGAAGGAAGTTTGAATGAACTTTCTTTTTTCTTTACCTGGCGCTGGTGTGGTGGCAACGGGGAGGGGGTCAGATGACCACACGCAGCCCGGGGTTAAGGAGATGTCGTCCAGTGCAATGTCGCCCTCTGCTGTCAGACCAATGACACCTTCAAAGATAATCTGCAAAGAGGGCGTTTTGAACTTTAAGAATGAAGTCTGTCACCTTGAAGCCTCACAAACGAACTGAAATTGTCAGCACAAAAAGGATTAACTAAGGGACAATCAATCAGTTACCAGCAATGCTGGCTAACAGAAAAAAAGTGTTGGCAATTGAATTTCTTGGCCTACGTGGTGGAACCCAAAAGTTGGTTAATCACTCCTGGCACAAAAATGAGCGTTGACTTAAATTTTTGCTGTCACAGCAAGATTTAATCTACAAATGAGCTAAAGTTCGACACATTTCCACAAGGAAACGGTTAGCTTTAAAACATTTTAGACTTTAGCATTTCAAAGTAGGGTGGAAGGCACAAACAAATCCTGGCTACTGTACCATGAAATCTGAGGAGCTCTGAAGTTCCAGTTCCTTGCGAGACCAGTAATCTTTCTCCCCCTCTCGGCTCCAGATGAGGGTCATGGGACCGTTGATTTTGGTGGCAGTGTAGACATTCAGGGTACCAATGAAGTCACCCCGCATGTGGTAGAAAAAACGTAGCTGGTTCAAAATGCAAGAAAATAATCTGGCTGTGCTTACTAAATACAACACAACAGACATCAGAAGAGTTTGTTGTCTACAGTTGTTGGCTGCTAACCAATCATTGATGTACACCCTCTACTGTGTCCAACATCCATGACCAAATACATTCCTTGATTCATCTAAGTTCTTGCAGTTTAGAGTAAGCGGCTGGGGATTAACTTTTAGGAGTTTGTGCAACACCCAGCAGTGTTAACTATGAATTTCCAACCCTGTGAATTTACAGTGAATTTGCGCAGTTTCACCGTGAATTTTTTCATGGCGACTTCACCGCTGTTCTCCTGGTGAAAACACTGTGAAAATGACCTTCACTATTGCCCCTTTGCAGACACCTTGAAGCCAAGTGAAAAGACTGTGTGAATACAGTGAGCCAAACCAGGCTACCAGGGTGTCCTTCTAACTAACTTTGTGCTTGGGTTAATCCTTGAAAATGCCATGAAACAGTCGTGAACCAATCCCGCATCGTGGAGCTGACTTCACTTTCCAACGTGAAATTGGGCTTACGCTGCCTTGGAAAAAATTTCACAGCGATTTAATGTCAAAAAAGCATTTTCACGGGTGTTGACGATAAACAATGGGCCCAATTTCTCTCTTTTGCAATTTGTTCAAACAGAAAAACTGGAAAAAGTAGGAAGATGCGAGTGTACTTTACTGGACGGAAATAAACTCAGTGCTTTATACAGTGATGTTTGCATTTAAAGCATGCTCTCTCACTGACGACGGCATCTGGTGGCGCCATGTCTACGAGGACAAGATTTGGGCTGATATTGTTGGAACTCACCGAGCAGGCGTCAATCAAGGCTGCAGCCTTGAGAGGACGAGAGGCAAACTGGGCTTTGTCGTTGATAATTCTCGGTTGACTGGCCTCCGTGTAGATGTAATAACCTAACCCGCAGCAATTACATGGCAACGCAAATAAAAACAAATCATATTTAATTACTCTGTGTATTTTCAAGTTTGAAAAACTTCCACATATCTAAACAGTCTAACACGGACGATTCATAATTGTACACTCCAAGAGTTTGCAACGCGCTGGCCAATCACAATACATGAAATCTATTGACCCTTAAATTTCCAAACGCGCGTTGGATCAACAGATTTCACGCATCGTAATTGGCCAACACGTTGCAAACTCTTGGAGGCGCACTATTGTGAAATGCCCGTATTACAAATTTATCTTTTTTGTTTGAAAACAGCACACTTGGGAGGGGATCGGAGAGGGACAAAGCATTCCTTTCCAGGCAAAACTATCGAAACTCATTTTGGGATATTTCTACATAGTAACCATGATAAGAAGTGTGACAGCTTTGTCTTGTTGGGAGGAAGCGTACAGTGGACCTATTACAGCCAATGCCGTCCAACGTCCTTGAAATAAAAGTCTGGTCTCTAGGTCAAGTATTTCACCAGTTACTGTGAAAACCAGACTTGACAATGGGTGCCGAAAATTGGAACTTGGTGTCTACACGAATGCAAAAATTAATAGACACACTTTGCTAGGAGAATAACAGAAACACATCACTCACCTTCCGATGTGTAAGTGGTGTGATCTGTCCTTGGCCCGGTGCCAGCAGATCCCGTGGCCCCGTTGCGTCGCCTCCAGTCGAAGTCATCGTCGGCAACCTGATACCACATGTCATCACAGATGCCAGACTCAAAGTCACACATGGAGTAGCCAGCTACAGAATATGAAGAACAAAAAAATCACAAAACACAACAAGCTCTTGTATTTTTGGAAAACTGTTTGTCTTTATTTCAAAGTGTCTAGGATCTGAGTTCTGATCCAACAAAGCCAAGTACAAGCAAGTCGCTATAGTATAATGACTCAACCTTCTGAGCAAAATCCACTGCAAGTTCAGTAAGATTTGTAAAAGCTCATCAGAAAACAATGGTGAAAGAAAAAAAAATTTTGCCCTTCATAGAGAGAGATGGACAAACCAACAAACATTCATCCTACCTGCAGTACAGGCCGACCGGTCCTCGTCGCTCAGGTCGCAGCAGTCCACTTGGAAGTCGCAGCGGCGGGTCGTCGGGTAGCACTGGCCTGCCGAGCACTGCGACTCGGTCACCCCGCAGACCAACTTACTCTCGGCGGGCGGGCAGTCTTCGAAGCGGATGTCATCGATGGCAAAACCTCCGACCGATGGAATCTCCTGCTTGTCCTCTGCGTCTATGATTATCTACATTTGAAGAACGAATACAAAACACATGCATATAAGTTCATCGTGAAGGAGAAATTTAGAAACAGCTCTGCCGACAAAAATTAGGATATTATTGGAAACCTGGAAGCACACCTGGAAATTTGAAGCGCAGGAGTCCACGGCAAAGTCCTCATAGATCCACATGTTCTTGTCGCTGACGTCGTCGCTCAGCTTCAACAGCTTCCGTTCGCCGGCAGCGGCGGCGGTGCGGATGATGACCTCCAGGTCGCCAAACTCGACGCCGAAGATGTAGTACCAGAGGCTGATCTTGCAGGTGCGGCCGCAGAGGGCGAACGTGGGACTGATGAGCCGGGCACGGGTGTTCATCCCCGGCGAGATGGAACCATCAACATACAAATAATGTCCTTTGGCACAAGGAAGGGTAAAGCAGGGTAAGTTTAGCAATCAACTCACAGAAAGGTCAGAGCAGCTCTGGACCTGTAAAACAGGGCCCTATATAGAATCCTTCCTTGGACCCTGTTTATGGGTCTACAGAAGTTCATATTCCAAATACGAAGCACCAATGCAAGAAGTAAATTACTGCAGATAGCTTGGTGTCATTGTCAATTTGATAAAAAGGGGCAATTTTTGCTGCATCACCTTGTGGTGAGAGTGGCCAATTATATATGTGTTTGGCTAAATTGTAGCTGAGATTAAAACAGCTGCAATAAGTTCATCCATGGACTGAGACAGCGTCGCAGTCACTTCTGTGGAAATAAAGCCCTTTTACAAGTCCTTTCTCGAGTCCAGTTTTGCCTGGATACTGTGCCCGGGTGTTGGGTGGCTTGTGTGAGACTTGTGATGCATGGACTTTGAAGGGATTTAAGGGAGACCTGCGATGAACACTTCACCAAAAATTGGTTTTTTGAGCGGACATCAAAGGTTGGTGCCCAGCATCCAGCTTACCAGTGAAGCTGTCCAGTGTGTGGTCCACCCTGGGTCCCTGGAAGCTGTCGCTGGGGTCCTGTCCCCCCACACGCGTGCTCCAATCAAAGTCATCTGCAGCGTCCTGGGTCCAGTAACACAGGCCGTCCTCGAAGCTGCACGTCCTCGCTGATGACCAAGGAAACAACACACATGAGTTTTCCAAGGGGCCATCAGCAAAGTTAGGTCTGACAAGACGACTTTACACTTGGATTTCTTAGGTTGAAGAACACTTGGTGATTTGCAGTTACATGCAGTTTGGGGGGAAGCATGTTCTCTTCTGTCAATTATAGGAATGGGGCAACATTTGCCCATATTTCCAAGAAGATTTCTTAAATTACTGACAGGTTCTGCAGCCTTCCAAATTTCACAATGTTCTTGGGTCTGTTTTATTTCTCAATTCCCTTAAATGATCTCTTTTGACAGTTCCGGGCTAGGCCTACTTACGGCACATTAGCTCATCAGATGCATCCGGGCAGTCCTCGCGGAAATCACAGAATTTGTCTCTGGCCAGGCAGGTCATGTCATCACACCGTCTCTCGTTGGATTGGCACGGTGCCAAGGTGGTTTGACCTGTAAATATTAAAAATGTAGGCTATTGTCAGCTTTAGGAATTGAAAACTCCGAAACCAAAATGAAAGATGATCTCACTAAAAAATAAAATATCGCCCAAAACTCAACGCTACTCAATTCACCATTGCTGAGACCAAGAAAAGGAAAGAAAAGGAGTTATTTTTGGTAAATGACATTTAACTCCTGGCCTGAAGGCTGCCCTCATTCACTAAGTCCAGAAGTCAGTTTTTACATGTTTGTGGAATATAAAAACAAATGTTTTTGAGGTTTTCAAAGGCTCTTACTTATGAATCTATTTGAATCTAATACAGGACAAAGAAAGAATTTCACTCACCCAGTGATCCTGCCACAAATAGTGGCAACATCAAGGTCGCTACGAACAGGTGCATGGTGTAGAGGGGAGAAAATGTTACCAAGATCTGCACCGTTTTCCGCAAGATCACGGCATTTACACGAGGAAAATATTGGTTGCCAAAAGACGAGGACTGGCTGACCAACTTTCACCAAGAAACTGATGAAACTTTGGCACCTTCAAAGTCGACCGAGGGGTGTGGGCAAATAATTTTGCTTCTGTGCAATACGTCCACCCTTGATGAGAGCGGTGGGAGTATTTGAGGGGGTTATTTAATAATGGGGTCATTTTTAGATAGAGGGATCCTGGTCGCCTGTCTCAATATTAGGTTATCTTGTGGTATCTGTCCAGATTTAAGACTGGACCCCTGAAGAGGTTGCCTGAAACGAGGTCATTAGCCACAGACAGGGAGCCCATGAGTCAGGCCATCATGCAAACATGTTGCGTTGTCTTCTAGCATTTATTGACATTTTTATTGGAGAAGCAACAATTTAATTTCAACAGGAAACACGTCGTGGAACAGAAACTTTTTACTTGGTACAATATGTGACAGTTTTGCAGGCTCTTTTCTAGCATTTTACAGTCGCAACATTGGCTCATTTTAATCAAATTACTGAATATTTAGAAAAAAAATTTAAAAAGAAACAGGAACCCTTATTAATTCTGGTCAGGTTAGAACAGATAGGAAAGAAAAGACTTGTTTACAAAAGAATTAATCTCATGCCAGGAGAGCATAACAAACAATCTATCAGGAGGATTTATCTGATAACAGTGGGACAAGTTGTTGACAAGACACTGATAAAAGGCATTGATAACATGACAGATGTCATAAAGTTCGGAGGGTAGGCTCTTCCATGGTGACATGCAGGAGTAATTATATGTTCCATCAATTGCAACAAGTGCTCTACTTTAGGAAGTGCAGAACTTGTTGTTCAAAGTGGAACAAACAAACACCAATTAAGATGCAACAGGAGGAATTTTCATCCTGATTCATACAGCCCCTAGAAATGCATTTCAATAACTCTGTTATTTATTAAACTGCACTCTCAGTATTGCATAATTTTGACAGTTTAGGATGCAAAAATACAGATCCAATGACTGACTTAATGCAGAGCTGAGATCCAGGCTCGTTCTTTGTTGACCTGCACAACTTGAGCAACTTGACATAATTTTAAACATTTGTCCCGTACAACAACACAGCCAAACAATGTCATCCAACTTTCTTTTGACGGGGCCGGTGTAACTGTTCATTAAATATCAGCTTGGAAATGACCAGCAGCTCAATGCATCTTTGTCCTTGATGCTGTGCAGAAATAACCTTATCTACTTAAACTTGATAAGCTTTATACAACCAATGCTTAAATCCAATTTCCAAACAACACAATGAACGCATAGATAAAACCTTCAATTATGTAAGATGAATTTTTCATATTACTGAACTGGCTGTAAACAACTTTGTTTCAAGAACTATTTACCCGAAAGTAACTTATTCAGGCATTTTTGCAGGATTAAAATAATGTTGACGAAAGAAAGCACCATAAAATTTTACCTATTAAAAATGGTTACGTTCTGCTAGAGGTAAAAATCAACACATGTGAGTCAGGCTGAGTACACAGTAGTTACAAAATGTTCAGAATGTATTCTCAAAAATAGCGGTAAGTTTTGAAATTCATCGCATACAGAACATTTCACATGAATTTCCCATCAACTTTCAAATTCGTGTGTTCTAAGAACTTTGCACTGATCGACGGAGAATTTTAAATGATATCTGATGAACAAAAGTGGAATTTTCACTGATAACAAAATGCAGAATTCTTTCCACTTATATTGTATGAATCTGTGAAACTACTTACAGGTTTGTTTGAGCAGATCTGCCATCCATAAAAGCAGAAAATTGAGCGTCATACTCGGTGATTCAAGTAACCGTATTCAATTACAACTGACAAAATGCGCGCTAACATATAACACCGAGCTGCAACTAGCCAAACCTGCGGGCCAATAAAGGACCAAACCCCGCACAAGCAACATGAGTTCGCTTCTTCATCTACGGTCGCACACACTGAGGCTCGACCATTGACAATAAGAAGATGAACAAATAACACAAATATCTGCCTCTTCAATTGGCGCTCATTGCAATCAAGACTTCACCTGCCTCCGAGAAAAGTTACAGCACCTGCTATTGCTTTAACCATGGACGTAGACGCGAGGTCTAATCTGTCTTTTATGCTGACCATGGCACATTGGGCCTCAAATTCAACTGCATATGCAGCAAGGTATGAGACGGAGAGAGCCCCCCCCCTGCTTTGTGTCGGTCATTGTCTCGCAGGAATCTGGGGAATTTCTTTCAGACATCTGGGGGGGGGTGTTAAGTAACAATAGTCTGGAATGTGTATAGGGGTTGGACATGTTGGGGGGTACCCCTCGGTCTCATTTCTTGCTGGGTATATTCAACTGACAAACTAGAAACAGGTGATTACTCCCCAGCAGTGTGAGGGCAGGATTAAAAACACTGTTTTTTTAATTAAGGCGTAATTGTAGACATTTTCATCTGCCAAGCAGACCACATCTCTTCGAGACAACTTTAATATGAAGCAAACTATGGGACAGAGAGAACCCCCCCCCCCCGCCTTTGTGTTGGTCATTGTTATCTCGGGAATTCTTTTCAGACATCTACGGGGGATGTGTTAAGTGACAATAGACTGGAGCGTGTATAGGGATTGGACTTGTTGGGGGGGGAAGTACCCCTCTGTCCCATTTTGTGCCTGGTATAACAACTTTCCATAACAATTTCGTTGGTTGGTCATAGTCTTCTTTCAAGTCGTACTTGGTTTCCCCGCCACCCTCATCACTTGGTGAGATCGCAAAACTTTGGGCTTTGGTTGCAATGTAGGCCTAGGTATTTTGGAAAGAAAAATTTGCCATCAGAACCCAGTGGTCAGGGAAAAAATGCATTCAACAGTCGCAATATCTTTCTTGTGGCTGTCTGTATACCTGCAAGCTGGGTGTGTGTGGCCTATTAAATGGCACACTATAGAATTCTGCACAAACGATTTGTGTATGGTTATGCAAATCAGTCTTCAATCTCACATCTGCTCTAGCCCCACTAGTGTGGCACGGACTGTCACTCCCGCGCGATCGGGAGTGAGAGTCCGTGCCACACCAGTGGGGCTAGATCTGCTCTAGTTTGTCAGTGATGAAAAATGGGAATATTCAACTGCATTTAACTGGAAAACTTTCATTCAGCCACTTTAAAACAAAAGATTCCTTGATCAATCTATTTTCTGATTTCACGAGAATGATTCAAATCAATCAGTACACTGTATTCAAGTAGTTAAATTGATTACGCAATGGTACAATTTCTATAATTTCCCTCCCCTCCACAAAAGTTGCCTGACTCCCCATAAAACACTTGCTGTTCTATGTAGAATTCAACCTAATGAAGAAATGCACACAACACAACAAAAATTGCAAAAGTTCTGAATAAATTTATTAGCAATTCTACTGCTGGACATGAATGCTACTTTTTTGAAGCTCCGCCATCATTTAGTGAATGTGTCTCTAGCACCTATAAGAGAATACTTTATATTTCAGAAGGTATCAATAGTACTGCATAGAGGAAAGTAGCTTGTTTTCTGAAAACTTATTCAAGGCACAAGAAGGATAGAAGGAAATCAAAATCTGCAATCACCAATTGATTCAGGAAAACATTACTCAAAACTTCAAAAGCAGATTTAAAATGACACAAAAAATCATGTTAAGATCAATCGACTTGGAATGCTGTCTATTAAGTAGCAGAACAATTACTTTCTGCTTAACGAAAAAACAATCAAAATCGCATGTCACCGAGTACACTTTTAGAAACGCAGCCATGCTAGTCCTTGACGTAGTGCCCAATTAAGTCTAGAGTCCCATGTTGGAATACCAATCTCTTTTAAGTACTGTTTGGACAGATGCATTGATCTGGCCACAAATCCAGGGCTTTTTCAGCTTCCCGACAACAATTCCAGCACAAAGAGAAGTCATCCACCCACAACGGTTGACTTTTTCCTGGTCAAATATGGTACTGATACAAACTGTTAGATTTTGTAGTGTTTCTCCTGAAATCATACAAATGACCCAATCACTCTGTAAATGCTCAGATAAAAATAGTTCCTTCAAAGCAAGTCTTTGTTGGTTGCTGCAGCTAAATAGGAATGCATAAACAATTTATAATAACAATAAAACGGCAGAATCACAAATATGAATGCAGGAAATATAGTTAACAAACTTTTCAGTTTATGAAAGGTGACAAAATGGCAACTTACAGCTAATGATCAGATTGATAGAATGGAACAAATTTCACTGATGCTTCTGTCTTGACAGAAATGAAATGACAAACAGCCTTTACACACTTGTACATGTACTCATGTCTCTCGTCTGAGGCTGATTTGACCAAACTCTCTCAATGAGACAAAATGATTTTCTCACAGATTTTCCACTCAACTTAAACATAATGTTACTACATTTCCCGAACACGGTACATCTTAAGTCCACTTCATCTAAGTGAAAAAAGTTACAAATACTAATTACACGGGAATTCACTTACATAAACTGAAATGTTCACAAATTTTTATCGGTCTCAGGTTTTATCCAATTCCTGCACTCAAAGATCTGATTAACCCCCAGCTCAGAAATTTCCAGAAATCAGAATGTATACTACATGTATTTGTCATACAAGCAACTTATACAAAACTTTAAGACTCAAAGTACATAAATACAGTATAAGATGGGAGTATAATTATATTGCTATGTTAGAATTCTACAGTACATGTACATTTACTTGGCAAAAGTGGCAGAAATCATATACAAGTTTTTCACACAGTGGTAGCAAGGCACCTCAATCTGGAGACAATTCGGAGCAAAACACACGACTTAAAAACCCTTTTTCCCGATACAAGTTGACACAAATTAACTTTACTGATATCACAACATCTCATCAAAATACAAATCAAAACCTTGTGGAAGTGGAATACTAAGTAAAATGTACATGCGAACATGTTGCCAAAGTTAATACAACCCCTCTTAAAACCAAGTTACATCCAGCTACTGAGTGGATGTAACTTTGTCAGCTTTCTTCCACTGGCTTTATTTGACAGCATTTTGACTGAAGGTATGCATACATTTGCAGCTTTACTCTCGTCATCACTGGCAGTTTAA